TTGAGAAAAGTTGTCAGTCAATTTTACTCTCTCTCTGTGTGTGGGGGGGGGGGGGAGGGAGGGGGGCACGCGCATGTGCACGGAAATAGCACAACAGGCATCACGGAAACCATGCTCCAACTGTTCGTTCTCGACGTTCTCCTCTCCCTTTCCTCCATGACTCATAACTGTTCATAGCCGACAGGTGCAACTCACAATGTTAGGGCCTCCTCAAAGTTTGCGCGCTCGACGTTTGTGACTCCTTAATGTTAGAGTCCTCTACGCAATTGTTCGTCCTCTTCATCCTCCTTTTCGCATCCCCCTTCCCATTCGTTCTCGAGGTTAGTGTTTGCACTAGTTTCCGTTCTCTTCCCTGTTCCTCCATCTCTCCCAATTGACTTCGGGGTGCAAGTGGCATCTGTGAGTTGGGGAACGAGGTTGTGAGTGGTACGAGAGACATACCTGGTGCTTGACGCGTGCGGCATTGGCCGAGGTTTGCTCATACTTGGAAAGCTGTTGACGCCATTAGCGGCATTGTAGTCTAGGCTAGATAGGATCTGCCATTCGTAGTCTGGGTGCCGAGCACCAGATAGCATATCAACATTGGTTCTTCGTTGATGATGATGAGACTATTCCAGCATTGTCAATTATGAGCTTTTGGTGTGCTCTTATTTGGTGAAACTCGTGATGCAATTCCACTTTTGGGTCGAGGTCACGACTATTTGGTCTCATGTGTATGATGCTGTTTGATTGCTGAAGTTCGCTATTGTTCATCTTCGTTGCAATTCGGTATCGGAGCTGTGGTTCGGTGCGCTAATCTGGCGCTTATCTTCTACCTAGTGCGATACATGCACGCGGTGTGTTCAAGGAGCGACTGTGCCGTGGGACGTGTAGTGAGGAGGGCGAAGATAAGTAGGCGACCCAGGTGGAGAGGGGTTCGCCAGGAAGTGTGGTGATTATTGGGTGTTCGCAGTGTGATGAGAACTATCTGGTGTGTGATTGATGCTGAGGTGGCAGCGATTGGTCATCACAATCAACATCAGGTCATCTGGTGAGAATATATGTGGTTGGGGGCAGCTATTTTGAGGTACGTTGTCGCACTTTTTCCTAGTCGAGCCACTTCGGGCAACCAGAAAGCCAACAGGCTGTCACGCAGGATTTTGTTGTTGATTGCAATAAATATTTAAAGTAAATAATGCAAATCCCTCCCTGTTGTGTGCGTCCGGCTTCGAGCGAGACCCTTCAATTACGGTCTTCGCCGGTCCCCGGTCTTAGGAATCTTTTATTTTGATTCGGAACAACAGAGAATCGTGCAAATAATAATCATAAAATAGGGGAGTGATATGCATGCATCAATTAAGCCAATCTGATTTTGAGAACTGTGATAGAACCCTTTGAGAAAAGCAATCATCAAGCATGGCAATGCAAGAAGCAAGACCGACTGACTCGAGCACCAATCAGGAGTCCTCACTCATCCCTCTGAACCTCACACTCGATCTCTCAATTTGTTGTCTGTCGTTTGGGCTTCTTGCCATGCCTCCGTACTCTCTGAGGGCGTGATCTCTATATGTAGAGCCACCTGAAGCCTGCAAGCTCTGCACATTTCCATCCAAGGTACATGACCCGAAAGTCAACCATGGAGCAGAACTCTTCTCATAGTGTAGGTAAGTAGGGCTTGGAGAAAATCCCTCGTCTGAGATGTGGAAACTCGGAGGGCTCGGTCACTGCCTCGTAGTCGATCACCGCAGAGGAGACGAACCTCTTTGTCAGTTCAATCAAGTCACCCCAGTGGGAGCCGTCCGTCAGAGTAAAGGGCCTGGGATAGTCAGAGTAGAGCTTCGGTCCAAAGCTGCGAATCAGCTTAGTACCGCTCTCGTCAAGCTCTCTCTCTCTCTCTCTCCTCCAGGAGCCCGGCTGCTGCAGTCCAAACTGAGTCGAGATACTCATGGGTTTCCTTGCCTTTCTTCACATACGATCTCAAGTCATGGATGGTACCCTCTTTAAAACTGGTGAGGACTGCGAACACTAACAGATCTCCCTTCTTGAAAATGGTTGCACTGCTATACTGATATGGAAAAGCATCCTTGGAAGAGATTCTGTTGAGACTGATCAGAACAGACTCACTGACTGAGGAAACCTACACCGTACTCATGTGGTGATGCTGAAAAGTTCAATAGTTCGAGTAGAGAACACTTCTGGTTGATGCTGATCGAGAACTGAATGTTGCTGAGATTTTGCTGACTGAAACTGAGTGCTGCTGAGATTCTGGTGACTGAAACTCAGAGCTGCTAAGATGGCAGAATGCTGCCCACCTAATAGTGACACAGAGTACTGCTAACTCAGCAACAGCGTTGAGCACTGATCATTGTTAACAACGCTAAGTACTGATCACTGCCAACAGCATTGAGCACTGCTTACTGATAACAGGGCTGAGTACTGGCCGGGACAGTCCCCTGAACTGAGGATGCCTGAATGTACT